GCGTTATCATTGTACAATTAAATGTAGGTATATAACTTTGGTACCTGTTTTTTTTTTTTTTTTGGTATCCTAAGCTTCTAACGACATTAATTTTCTAGTTCTCACGTTCGGTAATCTCTCTTTTTTTTTTTTTTTACTCTCTCGTTGTAGGTTTTATCGTAAGAGAGAGAACTTGTTTGGCCATAAATGAAATCGCTACGTAGCATTGGCACAATTCTATTTCTTGATCTTTCGAAATTACTTCGACTAATGTAGACTAAACCAAAGTGAAGTGAAATAAAGTAAAAAAAAATTACAATAAAGTTAAAGAAAAATATTTTCTAGAGTACGAATTTGAGTTGAATATATGTATCGCATTAAAGTGAAACTTTGATCGAAAACGAATTATTATCATGGCAAGGAGAACGATCCATCATCAAAGACATACATAGGTTGACACTTGACAAGGTAGAACCCTCAACGGGTTGCGGAAAGCTAACTTGCTGTTACTAAGCTACAACGTTATTTTACAATGAGACACAGGAAGAGAAACATTGCGAAAGAGTACAAACGACGATGGTCAGATACTAAATTAATAATTCTACTATTGGCTTAATAATATGCGAGCAACGTACTCGTATGGAACCAAATGATCTATCCTCTTCTATCTTGGACATATATGTAAATACGTAGACACAGAATACTCGGTTAAAATATTATTTCAATTTCGAGATAACTACATCTGTTATTTCTATCATTCTCAAATAATATTACTTAGGTATGTAGATATTTCTATGTGTACTTCATTACTAAATATCATTAGATAACACGTATTTTAAAAAAAAACTTGACCTACATGATTTATAATAAAAACCTAATAAGAATAATGAAAACTACAGCAATAATAATTAAATAATTCTATTATCATTATTATTATTATTATATACTAAATAATATTGGACATATGAAAGAATATACTAATATTTAGAATCTTCTAGTCATAACCAAGGGATATATTTATGTATCGTACGTTATCGGATCGGTCAACCGATCTCTCGGCGCGTTAAGACACCTAATTACACGTTCCGTTCGACGCACACGCTTCTACGAACTCGTGGTTGTTAGGAGACAGAAAGTATCCGAAGCCAGAGACCGACATACAGAATCGTTTACATCTCCTGGGCCTTCGATGTGTAAGATCTTTCTCAAGAAAGAGAGATAATTAAAATTAAATTGCGTAACATAATTACTATAATGATAATAACTAGATTTGATCGTGTTGAAAGGGTTGTTGAAAAGTTATCGAATATTTGTTGTTACCTTAGCATCGAAAGCATCGATGGCCGTCCGTCGAACTCCATTCATCTTTTAGCGTAAAATTTCTGTTAGCGAATCTCTTAGCGTTAAATTTTGGTTAACTTTGAGCTAAGAGAAGAAAGTCGTGGTGCAATATCTCTCTCTTGATAGTTTCGCGTTGTCAACGACGCGATGATGTTTTCCTTCTCGTAGTAAAGTCGAACTTTGTAAAGCGCGCTTCGTTTCGATCTACGCTACCGCCGCCGCCGCATCCTTCTCCTTCACCTCCACCTCCTCCGCCACCTCCTCCTCCTCCTCCCCGTCTCCTCCTTCTCCAGTTCCTCCAGCTCCTCCTCCTCCACCTCCTCCACCTCCACCCTCTTGGATCGAACTCGACGAGCTCTGCTGAAAAGCTATCGACATCGAGCGACGTGTGCGTGCGCATAGACTCGCTGAAATGAGAAAAATCATTCTTCGATCTTTGATCCTATTCAACTCACGTTTAAAAAAGCAGCTTATGTGCTACCAATTATATAAACTAAATAAATAAGGAAATATCATTGACGAATTTTCATCATTTTCTTTTTCTTTTTCTTTTTATATATATATAAAATTGTAATATAATAAAATATATATATAATATAATATATATAATATATAATATTTTTTATATAGCTTTATTTATATAATGTCGCATCAACCATTGGGGATTATTAGCGACATAAGAATTATACATTATAATTTATTATACATATTAATTGGCTTAAGGTATTTTAGTAAATTGAGTATAATTGTTTCTGAATTTAGGTTGTCTTTAGTGGCATTTTTCTTTTTCAATACTAAATATTATTACATCTTCAATTACTAGTTTCAATTGAACAAAAAACAAAGACATTTAATAAATAAGATAGATTCATTATCGCACCTAGCTAGTATACGTGTATTTTAATATTGAACGTAATGAGGTATTTGCAAGAAAACAAAAATATTCAATGCAAGAGATTCATAATTAATTCTATTGATTTTCAATTGAAATAGTGAAGAGTTATGCGTTTCCAAAGAGAAATATTATTTTTCTATTCTTTTTTTTTTTTTTTTTTTGTTTTGCCCATATGTATTATAAACGATGAACGATAGACGATGAACACAAGTTTGTTCCCAATAATATGTGTCAATCTTTTTTAATGAACAATTAGTATATTATAATATTTAATAAATAATATATAATATATTATTTTTTTTTTTTTTTTAAATAAAAATAATATTTATAATAGAAAGAGAATAGCAATGTTTAACGGTTGATAATTGTTTACCACTGTAAACGCATAAATTTAAAATCATTTGTCCTTATCCTCTTTATAAATCGTAACGCCCACGCGACAAAACATTTCCATTCGAGCGAACAGCAACCAAAACATACCGCACGAACTATACTTCGATTTTACTTTTTAATTCTTTGCTAATGAAAGAGAGAGAGAGAGAGAGAGAGATAAATAGAGAAAGAGAGGAAAGAGTGGTGAGGGAAAAGGGGGACGGAAAACCTGTATATAAAAAAGAATACATAGCGGTATATACATACGGTACATAAGAAAAAAGAGAAACTGTTTATCGCGAATACGTTGACAAAACTTTGATTGTTGATTGCGGTTATCTTATATTCTGTATCCTCTAAAAAAACAAAAAAAGATTTCTAAATAAATTCCATTGAAAATACATTCTTCATATCATTTATAAGAATATATGAAAAATTAAATGGACGTTTGTTCATCGTCAATAATTAAAGTTCATTTGTTTCCGAATGAAGTAAATTAAATTGTGATTTGTTTTTTTTTTTTTTTTAGCAAACTTTACCTTCTTCATTATTTTCAAATTAAAAACGGGCAAGTAGATAAAATATAATCTGTGGCAACTTATAAAACGTTCGTCGTTTGATCTACCAAGAGAAAAGACACGTAGAATAGATTAGAAAATGGTAAAGAAAGGAAAGGGCAAAGGAAGAGAAGAAAATAAAACAACGCATAGAAGAAATCGAAAGGGAACGTAAGAAAAGAAGACATACAAAAGATGATTTGACTTGCAACGATTGGCTATTCGAAAAATATTCACTCACCGATGTATACAATAATCGAGAGAGAAAGAGTGTAGAAGTTAAAACAGGTTTAAGAAACGTACCGACCGGTCGAACTTTAAATCGGTCATGTGTCTAGCGGTGTAGAACGATTTTATGACTCGTGGATCTGCTCGGTCGTAATCCGTTAATGAAAATTCGTCGTATCCAGGACTCTAGTTAGCTTCCTGGTTTAGAGATTAATCAGGATCGTTGAAACGATGATTCAATAATAGTAGGACGACATTTGTTAACGATGTTACGCCTAGTTTCGTATTTTTTTTGTTCTCTCTTCTCTCCTGTTTCTTGTTAAGTACTATTAGTTTAAAAACAAAACAACGATGATTTAATATACAATTGAAGACAATATTTTTTCGCGGCGATAATAAATATAATAGGTTATTAATTAATAAAATAACAATAATATAAAAATGTAGAAAAACAAGGAGATATAAAGAAGAAGAAGGGGAAAAAAAAAACTCTACGGGCACGTGGCACCGGAGTTAGAAAAATCACGAGAGAGCAGAAACGAACGTAAGACAGCCGGCTTTCGAGCAGTCTGCTTCACGACTGCCGGCGCGGTTAAAAAACCACGCGATGACCTCATCGCGCACACCGTCTTATATGTATCCCATACTCTCCTATCCCCTGTGTCGTTCCTGCTTGCTCTGCTCGGGTTGCTTGCTTACCTGCTTGCCCGCTCCTTTGCCTGTTCGCCTGCTAAATACTGATCGTCCTAAAAACATTCATCATATTTATTGTAATACCGCCTACGTTCATCCAACTCTTTTTCATTAATATTTTATATAAATATTTATATATTTTATTCTTTGTNTAGTAAAATCCTTACAACTTTGGATTCAAAAAAAAAAAAAGTAGACATATTAATATCTCATAACTATTATAAAAAATAGATATAATATCTATTTTTTATTCAATTAAAACTTACCTATTAAAGCTTTGTTTTCTTTGTTCTTTTTCAATTTAACAATGTTTAGTAAAATCCTTACAACTTTGGATTCAAAAAAAAAAAAAGTAGACATATTAATATCTCATAACTATTATAAAAAATAGATATAATATCTATTTTCCTAATTCATAAGGAATATATCTGTAATAAAATACATAAATAATAAAATACATGAATAATAAAATAAAGTCAAATATAACATACAAACTTGGTAATTGTTGAAATTGTTGTATATTTTCAAATTAAAAATAAACCAAATATTATGAAGTAATAAAATAACGTTATTACCTGTCATTCCAAGCATAATATTCCTAACGTGATAAGGTTGAAAAATCTGTGATATCGATGGTCGAACAACAGAAAATCTGTAAAATACAGGAGCCTTCTTTTTTCACGATTACAATGTCTGCCTTATTTGCCGCGCTAAATAACAAAACATGGCGGCTTCAATATTTGATTGGCTGACAACTTTTCTCACCTAATACTTAAGTCATAAATTTTTCTATGAGACTATTTTTTGATATGAATACAAATTGAAGTGGTTTTTTTAATTAATAATAATAAAATTTCTAATATTATATTATATTATTTTATTCTTTGCAAAGATTTGACAATTTTTTAATAAAATGAATAAATCAGCTGTAAATTTGTATTTTTACGATTGGCAGCAATGTATAAGGGAAATATTGATGTGACTTTATAAGTGGTGTATTGAGATAGACGTATAGGTTAGAAACTTCTTATTTATAGCCAGTAATACCAGGAGAAAAAATCTCACGTCCTGGCATCACTGTTTACAGCCGCTTGATCAAAGCGTGAACATTTTAAAGATATTTATTAATATAAACGAATTTGTTAGAATTATTAGAAATGGCATCTGATAAAAGTGGTAATAAAAAGCCAGCACTTCCAGAAAATGTACAAATCAAAATAGAACCAGGAACTTCTTTACCAATAAATCTTAATAATATTAAAACAGAACCAGGCGTTGCACCCACGACTACACGATTAACGTCTTTTAGATTACCACGTGATTTAACTTTAGGTGGAAATATTAAGACTGAAAAGACGAAGAAAATTTATGTACCAAATTTGAATACTCAACGAAACAGAAAGAAAGAGTAAGTTTATTCTCGTATTTAATATTTGTAAATATTATTACTTGAACAACGATAAAACTAATATTTGTATACAGGGAAACAGCGGTAACTAAAAATGATTCTGACAAATCAGTTAAGCAAAGAGGTAGAGGAAGAGGTCGTGGATCATCTGATCGTGGAAGAGGCAGAGGCAATAGCAATCTTATTCAAGTATATTTTTGAATTATTTACTTATCTCTTTCTTGATAAAGCAGCAAACTTATATTTCATTTGTATTTCTTCGTATGGCCAGACGTCGGGTGTATTTTCCCAAGGTACAAATGATGAAATTCGTAGAAGGGCCAGAGGAGAAGGAGGAGGACGATATAGCTCTGATAGACAACCTATATTAGAAAAACCTGTATTAAATTTAAATCGTGTAATTAATAAGGAAGAAGAGCAACAATTAAAAGAATTTGAAGATGATGACATTGATGAAGATACAAATGATGATGATACAGATGATTTAGGACAGTATAATGCTCCTATTTCATTGCCCATAATAAAAAAGAGTATGAATCTTTTAATATGACAGTAATATAAAAAACGAGTACAATTATAATTTATTTTCGTTAATAATTTTAGACAATCGTTTTAAAACTGAACCTAAAACTGAAATTAAAACTGAACCTAAAACTGAACCTAAGACTGAAACTAGTACATTGGATGATGAAGAAGAGATAGATCAAAAACCAATCATTTTAGAAAATGGCACTGGTAAGCAACGTATAATATATTATTTCATTATTATAATCTATCTTCTATTATAAAATACAAATTTGCAGTAATGAAAGTAAAGAAAGAAATAAAAAAGGATAAATATGTAAAAAGCGAACCTATAGAATCATTAAATCTATGGGACAATATTTCACAAATTGCTGAGAACCCAGCACATTCCTATATGTTAATGCAGGTATTAGAATTTTTACATTTTCATAAAATAATATTACGAAATATTATTAACAATTGATTTATTATTTACTTGCAGTTTCCTGAGTGCTTACCAGGTTTAGAAGCAAGTAACGATAATTATGAGCCAAAATCGAAGATTGCAAATGATAATACAACGCAAGAGAAAGAAAATCAAAATAATTCCAAGAAAAATTTTACTCTGAGTAGCTTAAAAGCTGGTATGATTGGAACATTACAAATTTTAAAATCTGGAAATGCACGCTTATGTTTAGGCAAAAGCAATTTACATGTAAATGTTGGATCTACTCAGAGTTTTCGACAGGTAATCAATGATAAATTTATCCTTTGATAATAGAAATGTATTAAATACATTTGCTAATAATATTTCAAAATACATTCTTATTTAAGGATCTTATAGCTGCAAAGCTAAACACAGTTGAACTGGATGGTGAACTCATTAATCTTGGAAAAGTTACTAATACATTAATATGCTCTCCAGAATGGAATTCTATGTTCCTTAACTCCACGAGTGCATTTGACAACTTATCTTCTGTATAATTACAAAATGATGAATACAATTCATCATTGAAGTTATATATAAGTCATGTACAGTCTTGTTTATGTTAGATTTAGTTTATAACAATTAAAGACGAAACCTACTGCTTTTAGATATATTATTTAAAGCACCAAAATATTCAATGTTTTATATGTACATTTTTATTATATCTCTCATATATAAATTGAATACCTAAACGGTTGAAATGTAAATTATATTTCGTCTAAATAGATGGATACTGTATATATGAACGTAAGACATAATAAATAATTTAACTATAGAAATTATCGAACATTATTATCACACTTTTTCTAAAATGATATATTTCAAATACTAAGAGGAATACGTGAATTATAAAGTAAATGACATCACGTATAAATTCGTTATGGCGACTTTTAAAGTTTGCAGATAAAATTAATGATTATTACAAAGTAAAGGTTGTCGAATGAAATGATAGTAGGTAGCGACGCCAAAATATCTTCATTTTTTGAGTTGTACAGTAAAAATAACATTATATGTAATATATAAATTATTATATACTAAATGCAAACTTCGACAGTGAAACTAATTATACAAATGAAAATAAGTTAGACATTCTGTATCGCAATGGTGCTATATAACAAGAAACAATTCGCTAAAAGTAGGTATGTGACACATGTATAACTGCGCTTAGTGATAAGAATAAAGTAAAAGTAAACAGTTTCCTAACTCAACATGTGCCTACATATTTGAATATTGTTAAAATTTAAAGGTGTATAGAGAGGTGTTGCGTCCTATTCCAGGACAAAAAAAAAATAGCTATATTTAAATGTAATAACAACGTACTACTGTATTCGTGTTTTCTTTTTTTGTTCTTTTTTTTTTGTATCAACTTATGAAATTATTCCTAGTATTATCTTAATAATCTAAGATTATATTAATAATGAAAATAAAAATGAAAATATGCACTCTCAAAGGTATATAAGAATTATACAAATGAATTACTTGTTAAATGACATGTCAGTGTAAGGATTAGAAGCTGGTGTTATAATGAACAAATTTCAATGGTCAATGTTCAAATTTAACCTCGCTTTCTTTCCAGTAATAAACAAGATAATTCATCAATTTGATCAGTACATTGTGGTAAGAATACATGTTAGGTAACACGATCTTGAATACGACACATAATAATCTCAATCACTTCTTTCAATACTATGTCCTTTTTTCATTGATTTTAATGCTTTCTCTCGTAGTTTTTTTTCTAGTTCTTCTGTATTCCCTTCACTTATATCGGATTCGTCCGAATCTGCGACCTTCTTCTTTTTGTGTTTTCTATGTTTTTTGTGTTTCTTATGCTTCTTATGCTTTTTATCCTTCTTCTTTTTCTTTTCTTCAACTTCACTTTCCTGCACATAAATGAAATTAAAGAAAAATGATTTTTTTNTTTACTATTACTATACTCTACGATATTATTACATTTAAATACCAACCTCTGATTCGCTTGTACTAGTTTTGGTCTTCTTCTTACGTTTCTTTTTAACTTTTTCCTCGTCAGAACTATCATCAATTTTTCGTTTCTTTTTAGTATCTTTCTCCACAATGTCTTCGTCATCGGTACTAGAATCTCGTTTAGATTTTTTCGATTTGGTTTTAGTTTCGTCATCGCTAGTTGAATCCTTTCTTGTTTTTCGTGTTCTAGATTTTTCATCTTCGGAAGAACTGTCTCTTCTCTTTCTTGACTTTTTCGGTTCATCGTCAGAACTTGAATCCTTCTTAGACTTTCTTGATCTAGATTTGTCGTCATCATTTTTACTTCTTTTTGTTTTTGAATCCTCTTCTGCAGATGAAGAATCTTTTCTAGATCTCTTAACCTTTTTTATATCTTCCTCTATGTCCTTTTTCGTATTACGCTTTCTAGATTCACTTTCAATTACTTCACGTTTTCTATTGTCCTTTCTGTCTTTACTTCGATCATCCATTGAATCTGATTAACAAATTGATCATATATAAATAGTCGTAATACAAAACTACTGTATATATAAATCTAGTTTTGAAAATAAATCTTTTCTTCAAATCTCTTACCTCCTCGACTTAAATCACGTTTTTTACTTTTGTCCAAATGTTTTCTATCATCTTCAGATTCTGAACTAGAGCCAGCTTTGCTTTTATCAGACTTGTCCTCGTCGGAAGAAACTTTTCTAGATTTTCTAGATCTATCTACTTTCTTTACCTTCTTTTTCCCTATAAAATACATTTATATATTTGTATTTTTAATTCTTAATAAATAATAAAGTACTTTTGTAAAATGAAATTTCATTTAATTTTTACCTTCAGTCTCACTATCGTCAGAATCCGTAGATCCATCCCGTTTGTCTCTCTTAACACGTTTCATAGAATCAACTGGCTTTTTAGGTGCTACTGTTTCAATAGTTTTTTGACCAGTTCTTTTCTCTTCCGATGTAGGTTTACTTGATTTGCTTGTTCTATCATCTTTTTTCAAAAGAAAAGCTTCGCCAGATGTTTGCGAACTTGATTCGCCTATTTTTGGTGATTCCTCCTTAGAATCTTCTCTACAATTACAATATATTGCATCATTATATAATCATACGAAATAAATAAATGAATGAATGAATGTATGTATGCAGATGGATGTGTGTACATACTTTGACGGTTGTTTCAACTTAGCAGCTGCAATGATGTCTTCTGTCTTCTTAAATGGTGAAGGTGTACGGGACAAACTCTTGGAGAACTAAAATTTCAAACATTTATTTTTGTCAATGTTAAATATATATAAAAATAAAAGAGGAAGATTTGTAATTACCCTATGTCTGGTAACAGGAAGTACAGTTAACTGTTGTTTCTTTGGCGAAACGCTTGGTTCAGCCTTTTTCACAGAGATTGACTCGGTCTTTTTCACATCCTTTTCAACCCGTTTCATAGTCTCTTCTTTAAGAATCTTCTCTTTCTCTTTCCTCTTATTCTCGTCCAACTGTTCTCGATCGTGCTTCTCTTGAGATTTTCTTTCGACCGATTTTCTGCGAGCATAATACGTATAAATGTTAAAAGAAAATAAAATGTGATTTAATAACATTAAAGTATTAATAAAACGCGTCAATCAAAGAATACTCATATAACTGGATAACCGTAGCTTCTGAAAAGAAAGAGATAGAAAAGAAAGACATAATACTCACCTAACTGATTCATCCTCATTGCTAGAGGTACTACTTTCGCTACTTTCCGAGCTACTCGACTTAGACCTTCCGTTTCGTAATTCTTTTCGCGATCCCGTGTCGGTCGATCGTTTAACTTTTTCATCGACCTTCTTGTCCCTCGTTTTATCCTTGTCGTCCTTAGAACGATCGGGAGATCGTTTTCCCTCTCTTATACGATCCACCGACGATCGTTGATCCCTAGATCTCGATCTACGATCCTTATCCCTTCTATCTCTGGACCGTTCTCGTCTACTCGATCTGTCACGAGACGACGATCTATCATACCTGTGCGATCTATCTCTTCCATCTGATGAACGACGTCTACTGTCTCGACGATCGGGTGATCGTCGTCTGTCGCGTCTCTCCGATGATCTCCTCCTACGATCCAACGATCTCCTTCTTCGTCTATCTCCAGGACTGGGTGATCTTCGACGATATCTTGCCGGACTTCTACGTGGTGGACTTCTGAAACGTTTTATACTGTAACACTACAATTATCAAAAGCAATCATTACGAAATGACTTATCATAGTACTTAGTGTTTTACCTTCGCCTACTAGGTGCTCTGCGTACTGATGGTGGTCGCATGTTACGACTTCCGCTATATCTGTCCAATCGTTCTCTCTCCCTTTCTCGTTCTCGTTCCCTTCGTCGATCACGTTCTCTGTCCAACGATCTCCTAAAAAGCATTTTTCTCAATTATTACCTAATATTATTTTACAGTCTTTAATGAAAATTCTATTAGCGCTCACCTTCTTGTTCTATCACGTGATCTATCACGTGATCTATCTCGCGAGCGATCTCGAGATCTATCGCGAGATCTATCTCTTTCCTTGGATCTATCTCTTCCTCTTTCCTTACGTGGTGATGGACTTCTTCTTTTGGGTGCTGATTTTCTCTCACGACTCGAATCACTGTCGCTACCGCTGTCATCTTTATTAGTTTTTCTGTAAGATCGTTTAGCCTGAACACCATCCTTCTTTTTCCTTATTTCAAAATCATTTTTATCCTTTGCACCTTTGTCTCCTTCGGTTCCAGAACTACTGCTAGTACTATTATCACGTTTTCTATTAGAATCAATATTGTCCTTTCGTTTGTCTGGTGATTTCGAACGAGATTTCGTTGATCTCGAATCGCTCGAGGCGGATCGCGATTTTCTAGATTTACCACGATCGCCACTTTTTGATCGGGATTTTTTCGATCTTGAATGTGATCTGCTACGTGATCTTGAATTTTTCGATTTGGATCTTCTTGATTTTAAACGATCTTGCGAACGTGACTTGGATCTTCTTGATTTAGATCGTGATCGCGATCGAGATCTTCGTGATCTGGACTTAGATCGAGATCGTCTTAATTTCGTACCAGGCGATCGTGATCTACGTTTTGAATCTCGACTAGGTGACTTTGATCTAGATTTCTTGGAACGCGTTGCTGCTGGAGATTTAGATCTTGATCTAGATTTTCTGGTTGTTTTATCCAATGACTCAGGTGATGGTGTACGATTGTTTTTCTTTTTACCATCAGCGATGCTCATTAACTTTGCTTGTAATCTGGATATTGCGACTGCTGCTTCTCTAATAAATAATATATAACAATACAAATGAATTTTAAGGAAAACTACAAATAAATATCATCATCAACCAATGGTATATACTTACGGTTTAGTTTTAACTGGCATTAATGGTATTGCATTTTCGGGTTGTGGTGAATCTTCACGTTCAACTTTAATATCTGACATATCTTTTCCGTTATCTTTGAGAGAATTCTTGCTAGGTGATCTCGAAGAAGACCTCCTTTTACGGCTTGATCTATCACGATCTCTGTGTCGATCTCTTGATCTACTCCTTTTATTTCTACATTAACACAAAGTATAGGTTTCACCATTGTTATCACATATATATATATATATATATTATTTATAACATAAAGAACATACCTGTCCCTATCGCGATCTCTACTTC